ATCCCTTCTTTCCACTTTCCCTTCCTCTGTGCATAAACTAATAAAATTATTTTTAAAAAACCTTTGTCTATAAATATTTGATGCCAATTAATAAATGTCATATACAGAGTCTCAGGAATAAATGAAATAAGGAGCTAGATCACCCTATTTTGCCAAAGCACAGAGTATGGCCTTAAAGCCAATGTGCTGTAGTGGTTAAGAGTGCTGGACTAGTGCCTAGGAAACTCAGGTTTAAATTCCCACTCATGCCATGGAAGCTCAATGGGTGACCTTGGGTCAGTCACACTTTCTCAGTCTAACCTACCTCACAGGGTTGTTGTGAGGATAAAATGGAGAAGACAATGATGTAAGCCAATTTGGGTCCCACTTGCTAAAGGTAGAAGACTCATATTACACCACTGCAAAGATAAATGCAGAACCAAAGACTTATCAATATTCACATATGTAACATATGGATAACAATTGTGTATGGACTTATTTTTAGATATTTAGAAACCCTTTAGAGAATCTTATGTGTAGATCTGTCACCACTTTCGTTATACTTTTTGTCCCTAACGTATACCTTTCCCCCCTTTTTCTAAATTACATTTAGTTGTTGGATTTTGAGCCCCAATTCTCTTTTTTCCATTCTTTCTGAATGGAAATGTTAAAATAAATTTAAAAATAATGCATATATTGTAAAAGATCCCAAATTTAATCCTTGGCACCTCCAGTTATAGCATCCCACACACAAGGTAGTTTCATTGGTCCAAGATTAAGTCCATTTTCAGAAAGCTTTCTTAACATACCAAAGTACACTTGATCTAATAAGACCTGCACATCTTATACGCCATTAGTTATACTACACATACGTACTACACTTGGCTATATGGTCCGGAATATGGTTATTCATTTAACTATTTTTGCAGTATTAGCATATCTAGAGCAAACTACTACTAAAAGATCAGAACCAACATACTGAGGAAGCAAAACTAGTAAATTTGTGATGAACATCAACAGCAGTTGGGAAGTAAAAGAAAGCAATACTGTGGCCCCGGTCACATGGGCCAGATAACGCGGGGGGGAGGTGTGGCTTTTTGCAGCGGTGCACTTTGACCCACCCAAATGTGATCAGACACGACAGCAGGACGGCGTGCCTCAACGCACCGAGGGGAGCACGCTGGAGCGATCAGACGGCGGAAGTCCATCTGCGGCCTGTCGCAAGTGTTAGGTAGTAATTTTTCTGCGCTATCTTTTAAATGCGGATCTTCAGTGGGACGGGACAGGCTGGCAACAGGTGCGTGACACTAGCCAGATGTACCCATTTGATTGCACCTATAAACTCTGCCCAGCATCCATAAGTATCCTGCCGCAACAAAAACACTTTCCTCACAAGCTCTCTCTGTGTGTAAAGTGCTGTCAAGATGTAGTTGACTTATGGCAAACCCAGCAAGGGGCTTTCAAGGCAAGTGATTAAGCACAGGTGGTTTGCCATTGCCTTCTTCTGCAGAGTCTTCCTTAGTGGTCTCCCTTTCAAGTACCGACCCTGCTTAATTTCTGAGATCTGACAAGACCAGACTATACCATGCCATCTTCTCTCCATTTCTCACAAGCTACACAATTTGAAACTCTTACTTTAAAACATTTTGGGCTATTTTCTCATTTGTAACTATGTTTATCACAATTTTCCACACCCGCCCCCCTATATTTTCTAAACAGTGCAGCCTACAGTCTAATGTAGTGTTTACTTTCACATCCCTGATAGAATAGTTTAAAAATTCTTAAGATAGAGTTTAGGAATTAGTACAAAGAAGATACCAGGCATGGCTCACAGTAGATAACAGAACTGAAATAAACTATATTTTAAGATAAACATTACCATTTTAATAATTTCATTCCTATGTATGACTGCCATCAGAAATAAAATGCAAAAAAATTCAAGCGTATAAATTAGTTGCTGTTTCTGTGCTCATTTTAGGAAGGTGTGGATTCCTCTAGGACATATCAAAACACAAAATCTTCTATTATATTCACAAAGCTGTGCATGTTCAGCTTTCAAAAACTCCAGGGATACACTAGTTTCTGCTTTTCAAAATGACCAACCCCCTTCCAATGAAAGGCCATAGTACTGGATTTATATTTTGCATAGCAATTTGGCATAATACGGCCTCAACAACAGTAAATTCAAGAGGAACTTCCTTTATATGAGCACCAAAACAAAGAACACATTTATCTTATTTATAAAAATGATCAGAAAGGAAAACATCTCCACTGCAGCAATTCAGTGACAAAGATGAGATTAAACATACGATTTGGCCATTCTAGAGACAATTAATAAAAATATTGTTCTGCATGTACCACAACACTTCCAATATATTCCTGCCCAAAAGCCATAGGAATCAAAGTATCTGTCAATGACAGAGGCCAAGAAAAATATTTAGACCTCACATACCTGAAGTGCTACAAATACACATAACTGTATCACTAATAATATTTTAATGTCTTTCCCAAAAACGGTTTTACAATTACTTTGTGACTGGATTGAAAAAGCAACTTGGATATTAGATTAAGCTTCAACATTTGGATATATATCCTGATCCTATACTTAAACTTCAATCCTAAACAAAATCCAATGAAGCCTAAATCCTTTTCTTGTGTAATGGGGTTTAACTTCTATAGAACACAGGAACTGCACATTTTAACATAGACAAAACATTAAAAGCAGAATTATTATGATGTGCCTGACAGCCAGCAGGAGGGTTGGGGGTGGGTATATGGGGAGCTGTGACAGCGCATATATCACTATGCGACTTCCAGATAAAACCTGGAAGTGATGTAGGGTAGCTCTAGGAACTGCTGCAAACTCTATGGTTTTACCATGTGGTTCTTAGCAATTCCTTGAGGCATTCTACATCACTTCTAAGTCTTCCCTGGAAGTGACATAGCAGCACGTCACCAATGTTTTTTTCTTTATTTTTCTCCATCAAGGATGGCTGCTGGCAGGAGGCATCTCGCAATAATGGTAGGCCTGGTATTTAAAAGTACACATGTATCATAATGACTTAGATACTGTCAGCTTCTAGTTTGAAATCTAAACAGTACAATCTCTGAAATAAATTATGAGAATATGTATTTCAACTATGGTGTATAGACATATAATCAAGGATTTTCATGAGACGAGTTTGTAGTTTAGAGAGAAAATTTTACAGAATTGTTTCTGGAATGTGGAGACATCAGGTTCAAATTTCTATTTGTTCATGATGAACTCTGAACAGGCCACTGGTTGAAATCAGACGTCGGGAGCACTCCCACTGCTATACATAGTCTTATTCTCCCCCCATCCCCCCTTACCAGTTTATATTACGTATAGCTTACTGTGATACCCAGACTGACATACTGTGATTTATACTTATACCAAATCAGAGTATGCAAATGATAGTTAACCATGGTTGGACATTAGCTCCTATCATAGTTTTATTTATTCATTAGGTATTTGCATCCTGTTTCCTCACAAATATGCTTCTAAGGCAGATAAGCATATACAACAAATCAATACAATGAAAGCATAAACAACCAACAATAAATTAAAAACAAAATACAAAACCAAACAAATCAACTGAGACCATTACAGACAAGTAAAAGGATACTACAAAGCAGCAGCAGCTAAAACACTACCGATCAGCTACAAACATAGTGAGACCAAAAACATACCCCAATCAGTTAAAAATCTGCTGATTTTTTTTTTAAGATCTTGGTTGGCATCCAAAATATGTTCAAAGGTTTTAGACTTGGAGGGAGAGGGAAGGCTAATAGCTTTCAAATTGGGGCACTGTGGCAAGATAAGGTTAGTGATAATCAAGAAGTAGAGAATGTAAAGAGGGCAAAAAGTACATGCAAATATTTAGAAGTGCTCCTAAACTCTAAAATATGTTTTGAATAATGTTTCAATTGTGCCTGTCTTTCAACAAAACCTCCCTTTCTGGGCTACTGTAAAGATGAAATAAAAATAGTAAAATACTTACTATACTGGAAAATTTAATAGAAAATACAAGCCTACATTTCATCTAGTAGCTTAAAATAACAACAACAACTTGAACTAAAATGTAAGCATACAAGCACTCCCACAGAATATATGCTTCATTTAGCAATTAAGCTGGGAGATTTAAAATCAAAAGCAAACTATAACTGCTAGTCAATGGTCTGGGTTTTCCATCATAAAGCTGTGGCACAGACACAGCATTCTGTGCAATTCAACTAACAGGCTTTATGGAAGCTGTGTTAAACCTACACTGCTTAACGACTATAAATCTCCTGATCTGACATTTGGCTGGAACAGAATAATTGAACTCTGATACCATGAAAGCGACTGATCTTCATTAGACTGAGGACAAATACTAGAAACTATCTGGACCCAGACACTTTTATATTAAAACCAAGATGTGGATGCATAGATTATTAATAGTACATGTCAGCTTTAATTTCTCCAAGTAAACTAACAATCTGCTATGGTTATTATCAGAACTTAGCAACAATCAACCACACATGCAAACCTGTCTTATGATGGATTGCCCGGAATATGAAACAGACATACAACTGTCAATTATAATATTCCTAAATCCATTAAGCCTATGTTTAATGCAATGAAATGCATTAACTTGGAATCACCTTTCTAAGCTAATGTTATCTGAAGACACATTTATGTGCAGTGAGGCCTCCTTATCACAGTAATAATTATGCCAGCAATTATTCACTAGCCTTACATTGCATGTGTTCAAGGTACTGACTCCTTCAAGATATGTGGACACTAAAAGATTGCAAAATAAATTCCTTCATACGTAACATAGAAGCAGTCACTGAAGAGCATCCATACTAAATACAAATACCCTTTAATCCATTAGAGCCTATTCTCCCTTCATTCCAGCAGTATATGAATTTCTTCCACCTCCCATTCTGTATAGCTCTTATTGTGCCCATTGATTCTTGTTTCTGAAGACACCAAATGCTTTCCCTCCAACAAGTACCTTCCGAGTTCCTCTCCGATCTCATAGTAATCATCCAGATTCTCTTGCCTGAAGACAGTCATGATAGCTGCAACTCCTCAGAAAGACAACCTGGCATTGACAGCACCACCTTTGCCTTTCAGCTCATCACCACAGCACGATTCACCAACATTTTATGCATGGCTACAAGCCCTGAAAAAGAAAGGGAGAAAGAAAATCAGTAGGTTAATTAAAATGCCTGTATTTGCAAGAGGGGTGTGGTTATGTGCACACTGCAACACCGACACTCCACAGTAATTGTGGAATGTCATACTAATCCAAAGATTCAGAATCACTGTAGAGATCAATCACTAATCCTGCCTGGCCACTGACTGGTTAACTTTGCTCTCCAAGAAACCCTGGGTCTGCCTTGGCAATTCGACTCACAGCAAATGGAAGACTCGGGTTTTTCCCACTGCCGTACATAAAGATCTCCTCTCCTCCTCCCTTCGTAAGAGCTGCAAAATGGAAATACACCAATCTGAGAGATCTAATGCTTCGCCCTAAAATAAAGCCTCTGTTGAAAGGGGGGGGGGGATCTACCTTCACAACTCTTAAGCTTTGCCTCTTAATGCACACCTCACCTTTTCCCCGCAGCAGCGGGGGCACCATAAGCCACCATTTCACCTCAGGAAGGCGCCTCCGAGCCGCACGGACGCCACATTCCTCAGCGACTCCCCCTCCGTTACCCGGTCAACTAGGACGTGCTAACAGGAGGAGCGGTCGCTGCTAAGGCAAACCACAACCTGCCTGCTCGAGCCACATTTACACCACCAGGCAACAAGCTGGGGGCATCCCCGCTATCCCTCGGCTGTATCACCAGGCCTTTTGCAAACACCTCCCTCCCGCAGCGTCGCCGGCGAAGGAGGGAAGCAGCCCAGCTAAACAAACACCGAGGGAGAGAAAGGGAAGCGAAGGGAAGGAAACCCCCCTCCTCCTCCTCCTCCCTCCGCCGAGCTCTCCTGCCGCTGCTGCAGGGGGAGGGGACGGGCACCCAGGAGTTCTTCTTGACGCCGCGGGCTGGGGAAGCCGGAGAGAGGAAGAAAACCCGCCCCCCTTCCCAGACAGCCAGCGCCTTCCCTCCCCACTCGCTTACTTACCCACCCACCCACTGCCTCGCTGCGACTCACCGGCCACACTAGGAACTAGGAGGCGGCGACACTCTCCCCTCGCAGGCGTCCTCGCTCTCCGGAGTCGCACAAGGGAGAGGGACTCCGGCATCTGGCCAATGAGAAAGCAACCGCACTCACACTCCTCCTTCTCCTCTCGTGACCTGCCCGCGAAAACGGTAAGGGGGGAAAGCGCCAGGCGCGCGCACCCAGACGTACAGGTGTAAGGCTACGCCGCGCAAGTCCTGTGCGAGCGCTTCCTTGCTCGTCAGAAGTAATAGTAACAAGAAATACGCTTAGCAGCATCCCGGGTTCTTTCTACAGATCAGTTAGCGATGACTACAGCGCGGGTTGGACTGGCAAACGCTTAACTGCTAACAGTAAAAGTGCTGGACCTTCTTGTGGATGATCAATGGAGAGAGGGAAAAGTAATTCACTACATATAAGCTCTGAAACTTGGCGACCAAAACCGGTTCTGATTCTAAGCCCTGAAAAGCCTTCTTCCTCTCTGCCATTCCAGTGCTTTGTCCACCAGTTCTGTTTTTTGGATGCAACTAACTGGATAAGCAAGATGAGCTTTGCAAGAGATGAGCTGCCTGCCTCGTAGTTGGCTGATACGTATACTGCCATTCTGCTATTGTATTCAGGGCAGTTTACAATAATAATATAGTAGCCCACAAGCAAAAGAAATGGGGGCAAAAAAGAAAAAGTAAAACAAGCATATTTGCGAACTTTTTCATGATAAGGCAATAGAATGGCTGCTACAAGAGACAGCGTAGAGGTGTAGGGGAGAGAGGGATCTCTAAGGTTTGTTGGATCTGGATCTTAGATGTTTAGAGGGCAAAACCTGCAACATGAATTCTTCCTGGTAGCACACTCTGGAACAATATGTTCCCCGAGAGTGATCAGCATTAGAAAATGGACTACCATATTCAGCACCAGTGAGGAAATTGTGTATTTTCATCTTAAGGATTGCTAGAAATACAGAACATCAATTTGCTTTGCGACATTTACTGAATGATCACAAGATTTCTGAAGTAAAAACTTCACTTATTTATTTAAATGAACTATTTTTAAGTTGAGGACAACAGATCCAGTGTGCAGATCCTCTTTCATATTGACAATACTAAGGCTGAAATTGCCAAAACAAGATCAAGAGAACCGCCTAGAATTAGATGTACCGTAGCTTGCTGCACCAGTTAGTTTATATGCTGAATCTCTCTCTCTCTCTCTGACTCAGTATTGAGGGAGGGAGACCAAACTGAAGAATTGTAAAAACCAAAATGCATTCCTAATTATACAGGAATATTAGCATATTTGTTATATTTCACTTGATATAGCCAAGATGAAAAACTCAAAAGTGACTTTGTTTCCTACCCAACAATTGAGATTCACGTGCAGGATATAATTTTGATCCTGCAGTACTTCTAAATGCTTTCCTTCCTCTAAACTCACTCTAATTTGGTTAACTTTTGCATAGAAGATGGAATTTATAGCCCCAAAGGAACACATGACCCTGATCAGATGAGCAGTTTTTAACTTCTCCATGAGATCTGTTGTCTCATCAAATGAACAGTTAAAGGAGAGGTCAACAATTATGGAAGTTTGTATTTGTGCCCACAAAGACCCTGATTAGCTGTCAATGGTATGAAATGCCTGATTATCCATATTGACAGGCACATTTGATGCACATAGTGCAGTGTTTATCTGACCTGTACTGTGAGCATGGGAGGTCTGGTAGTTGGAAGAGATGAGCAGAAAGCCCTGTAAGAGCTCTGTTGTCATCTAGTCTTTGTCCACATACTTAGGAATTGGGAGTCCATGCCTCCCAGTTCTGTCACGACCTTGATGAGGGTTAATGTCAGCTTACTGAATAATACAGACATCACTCCTCCATGACCTGATAGTGAAGGAAAGGGCTGATATAAGGACCTGGAAGTTAAGTCTTTGGTGCACCTCATTTTGGCTGGACACACAGCTAGTCATTAACTTTGGTGAAAGGAAGTTATACCAAGGGTAAGATGGGGAAAGGAGTATTACCATGAGTACTACTCCCTGTGCAAGTATCCAGGGTAGACCATGCCTGGCTATGATTGTAGAGGGATGTTTATGGGGAAGAGATGTAGCTTAGTGGAACAGCATTTGCTTTGCATGCAGAAGGTCCCGAGTTCAGTTGCTGATCTTTTCTGTTAAAGGATCTCAGGAATCAAGACTGTGAGAGGCAATTAATTCTATGGAGAACCACTGCCAATCAGAGCAGACAGTTCTCAGCAAAGCTTTATTTAGTATAAAGGAACTTCACAGATTCATACATGGATCCAGAAACAATTCTGAGATTCTGCAGGTTTACTGTTTGCCTAGCAGCCCAGCAAACTCCCTGTTTAAATTGACAGAGCCTTTTCAAGTGTGAATTTGCAAACAGGACAGGGTGTCTTCAGCATTCATGCCAAGACCACCTTTTCAGGTCTGGTTTGGGTGCTGTGGCTAGAAGGCATGCCAAATCTGCAGGCCATCATGATTGCATCCGGTTGAGCACTTCTGAGAGGGGTGGGTGCTTTTATGTCTGGTTTGATCCTCTGGAAAGTGAACCATCTCTGATTCATGGGAAAGGTCTTGCACAGTTTGATGTTGGCAGACTGCTTTTTGAACAAACTTTAATATTGCATTTCATTCAGAGTCCATTGCAGAAACGTGAGAAACAGATGCTTATTTTATTTGCTTATATGTGTTTTACCTGGACTTATTTGAGGGCTTCAACAGAGCACTTGTAATTGTTGTAATTTTCTTTTTAGTCTGTGAGCTCTTTTGAGTACTTGTTCAAGGCTGCTGCCACGAGCCTGGATCTTGTCCCAGAGCAAGGAGTGAATTCAATACTGGGATCTTTGTAGCTGACCCAATTAGGTGCACCTGTAAAATCGAGTTAAAAGGCTGGGGGGGGGGTTGTAGGGTATCTATTATTTTAAAGCAACTATATTCACTAAATATTCTTAAGATATTGTGCATTGTGGTAAGGCAAAAGCTTATTAAAGGGATCAATGAATGTGTGAAAGCACATGAAGTTTTGCCGCAGAAGCTGTGTATTATCTGAAGACCATTTCAAAGCTGTAAGTTAGTTCTTAGTTCAGAAGAGTAGGTTATGTATCCAGGAAAGAAATGCCCATTCAAAAGCCATTTAATTTATCAGCTATAAGTTAACAGACCTATTTTTATGTATTGTTTGTTTAGTTTGTAGGGATCATCTTGTTTGCCTGAAATGTTTCTAACTGTTTGCTGGGGAAAGTTGGACAAGATATCAGAACTATGTGGCAATATTTATTTTCCCAATAAAAATGTGCTATTATTGTGTGACCATTTGTCAGAATCAGTCTTGACTTTCACTATATTGACGACTAGAAAAATGTAATACATTGTCCAGCAATCAATAGTGGATACAAATAGCTATAGATCTGCAAACATTAATCTCTCCTCCATATGAAGGATTGTCCCATAGGAGACCATAACCAACTGGTACAGAAATATTAGGAAGTTGCGACAGCAGGCAGCAGTGCTGTGCAACAGGAACCAATAATTATTTCAGTTGAAGAGCTGAGCACATGACACCCGCACCTGATTTTAGTGGGCTTTGAAGGGTATCATTCTCCTTAGGATACACTGTTAATTCTGTTAAGGATGCATCACACGGCATTCTTGATCTTTTAGACTTAAAGTCATCTCATACTTAGGGCCAAGGCAGACAATGCTTTTGTTAAACTTACTCAGGTAGTCCTGGCCATTTTCAAAGTGTATGCCCTAGCACACAAATAAATATAATGTGTGAAATCTTCTTGGCCGCTGTTTTACCAATCCCATGTTGGAACAGAAATTCCCCACTTTCACTTTGATTTATCATCTGCATGCTGCTTTCACTTCGTTTGATCTCTTGGTTTTATGGAACTGTCCAAAGAGGAAATA